CTCCGTTTATAAATATCCTGTTTCCTCTCAAACTAAATTCAAATTCAAACAAAAAGTTTTTAGTGAAGCAAATTACAGCATTTAACGTACTCATCGGAAAAATATTTGCAAAACTAAAATAATTTTACTTTCTTCTAAAAGTTAATAAAGAAAGTGGAAAATTTACAATTTGCTGCACTTTCTCTGCGATTCCTTTGCACCAAATTCCGGCAGTTAATTTTCTAAGTTTTAAATTAGTTCTCAAAAATGACCGTCGGGTGTAGTTTTAAAGTTTCGATATTTTTTAATTTCCACATATATTTTCAGCAATTTTGTCCTTTGTGCAAATATTGTCCTTTAATAATGCTTGCAGCGATGGAAAGTAAGAGCACGTTTGCTTTCTTTGTTAAATTCAAATAGAAAAAAATCAAATCCTGACAGCTGCTATTCGGAAGGACGCTAAGGATCCTGTTAACCCGTTCGTACAATCGACGGAGGGCAGAGATGCAGACGCTTTAACAGATTTTCTCGTATTTTATTTATTTTTATTTTTTAATTATTATATTTTTCTTCAATTCTATTATTATTTTTTTTTAATTTTTATTTTGTCAAAATTTATTCACAACGAATATTGATGCTTTCATTCTGCCGCGTGACGTCGCAGTGCTGCCTTTGTTGCTGCAACGAATTTCCTTAGTTTTTAGCCAATTTTATCCTTTTATTCCGCTATCCCTGCACAATTTAAACTTTAATTTGTGTTCATAAGTCATATTAAAAGCTGAATAAAGTTTATTTATGGTTATAATTTCTGCTCGGCAAAGAATGTCGTAGAGCACTGCTTTATACTGTAGCTGGCTGTAGCTGTAGTTGTACTCTGTAGGAGTGGCAGGACTGGCAGGACTGGCAGGAGTGCCAGGACAACAGTACAGTACACTATACTGTACTGTGCTTTGGTGTGTTGCTAGCTCTTGATCGTCCTTTCGTCCTGTCGTGCTGTCGTGGTGTCGTGGTGTCGTCGTTCGTCTTCTATGTTGTAGTGCACTTTACCCTCTTATCTTCTTATGCTAATAATTTAGCTTAATTTTATTTTGTGTTTTTGTTTGAAACTTACAAATGCGTAAGTAAAAGTGATGATAACGGCAAAAATTGCTGTATGCATTCATAATTTTAATGGCAATGCAATTTTTTCGCTTTGTTGTCTTCTGGAAACTTTCGCCGCTTCTGCTGTTATTAATTTAACTTCAAGGATTTGGCCAAGTTTGCGGCAAGGCAGACATTCTGCTGCACTACTAAGACATGTTAACAAATTGTAGTTTCTAAAAGTTTGAAAGAATTTATAATAACTATTCTCTTTTTTATTCCCTATAATTATTTATAATTTTTGGCTTACATTTACATAATTTAATGGATAAACGTAATAGGAGAAATTAACTGAAAAACAGCACAGATAGATTGAGAATTTGAAAGATTAGTATAGGATTTTTCATTTAGAAAATTTTATACAAAAATATTCTTACATTAATCTTTTTCAATGAGTTGAAAGAATAGTGTTTTCCTCATAATTATTGCTCTATAAAGATAAGTTTATTCAGACTGAAACTAAATTTATTTGTTAAAGTAATAATGAACATGGATAATGTACATTAATGGATAAATGAACTAACCGTATAAATAAAATTACAAATTAAAGATATTTATCAACTGCAGCTTCCTACGTGGGAGGTTCTTTCGTTCAAAATTCAACAGCGCTCTCTCGTCAGTCAGATGTATAGAAGCAGGGGTTCCTCAGGCATCGCCACTTTCCCCCATTCTCTACAACATTTATACATCTGATATTCAAATGTTAGGTTCCTCGATTCTGGCTTTATATGCTGACGATGCGTATATGCTATACTCAGATATATGTGCTCTCAGCATAACCAAGAGTATATAAACTTCATTTTGAAGTATTTCCAGAAATGGAAAATAGAAATCAATAATGAAAAAACCAAGACTCTGTTTATTACACGCAAGTGGAGACAGAATCCGCCAAGAGTTAGAGTGGGAGATATGGTAATAAAATGGGAGGATAGCGTTAAAAATCTCGGCATCATGTTGGACAAACAATTCACATGGCTTAAACATGTTCAACTGAAAAGAATTAGCTGTGCCAAAATTCTTCTTCACCTCCAATCACTATTCAGAAACGAAAATCTCAATGCTAAGAACAGGAACCAAATAATGCGTTCATCACTTCTATATAGATTTGTAGCGTTTAATCTAACACTCCTATTCACCAGCTAGAAATTGCACAAAGCCAGGCTCTGAGAAGACTTTCCAAGGTACCATAGTACATTAGAGGACGCATGACATCCTCAGGGACCTCAAGATTGATCCGATCAAAAAAAGCATAAAGTATAGAGCCCTGAAATTATTTGCAAAAACTGACAGACTTACCAACACCACGTTATCGAATCTCAGATTGGTTACAGGCTACTCGCGGAGGTATGCAGATCTGAGGTCAATTATTGCTTAGTGTGATGAAGTGATAAACAATAATCCAGTCAATGTGTAAAGAGGGATTTTGAAGATACCTCGAGTTAATAAAGAGTAAAAGTGCTCAAGTATAAATAGCTTCAACATAAAAATAAAACATTAACTGCTTATAGCACGATGGATTATACACTCACCAAACTAATATTAACTATTAACTAAAAGAGAGATTAAAAAAATTTTTAGTATACCACACGATTGCACAACAGCCCAAGAATATGCTTGATTAAAGAAACTCTTTTGGATTTGAAAATTTTCTCACTATTGCCACTCTTCTCTATCTAACAATCTATATAGTGGATAGAAACCTATCTACCGAATCACACAGATCTACCCGACTGCATTTATGGCGATTGAGACTATAAAAGCATATCTTCTTTTACTGTAACCCCACCACCAGACATGCATGGGGAATGAGCTTACATAAAGAGGGAAATTGATAACTCATGAAATTTGTCGACATATGCTTGACTGAAATCTATTAGGTAAATGAAGAAAAAATGATATACAGTAAAAATAGATACCGACTGTTAGAAGAACGCTTATTTCAATTGCAATAAAGTGGCCAATATTTT